TCCCGCCATTTCTGCATCTCCATCTTCTTCATCTTTGCGTAGTGCGATTGCCTTCTGGATATCTGCGGTCAAGTCGAGGGCGTGGCCTTCGATGTAAGCCTCTTGATCGAGGAGGCGAGCGATGGGCTCATGGAATACGCCGAATGAGGAGCGGCTTGTCGGGAGGCCCACGAATGCGCGGTGCGGATTGCCGCCCTTGGTCCTGCCAGTCTGGGCATCGACGAAGGGGTCGGGTTCCTTCACGATCCTCTCCGCAAGGACCATTCGATCGATCGAATCGTTGGTCAGCTTGCTTCCATTTCCCCATTTCGGGTGATTGAGGACCCAGGAGAGGAACATCGACGTCGCCGTGACTTCACAGCCCGTGGGCAGGGCCGGGTACTGGCACACCGGTTCAATCTCGATCTACACCCCAAGAAATGACACACATTCCCATTCTTCAATAATGAAATCGTTTTCATTAATCGCCACAATTGGGCTTCGTGTAGTCTACATACCCATCTTTCATCCTCCATTCGTGCACTTACTTAGGCCGAGATACGCTCCTTGTTCTTTGTTCTTTGTTGTTGTTGTCCCGTTTCGATCGCCAGCCTTCACTTTCGTTCTTCGCTTTTGCGATCTCTTAGCTGAGGGCCGAGTGCTGCTTGCCGTAGGCCGGGTAGTTCTGGTTCAGCCACTCGCCCAGCTGTGCGCTCAAGTCCAAGCCGTACGGGATCTGATACGCGGCGCGTGCGGAGACATCATAAGCCGCGTGTGTCGTGTCGTGTGCGGTCTTGTGTGCGGTCTTGTGTGTGCGGTCTTGTGTGTGCGTGTCGTGCGGACGTACGGGATTGGAGTTGGAGGGGAAGACGCAGAAGAAGCGGGTTGTGACCAGGTCCTCGTTGCCCACCACGTAGTGCGGGTTAGGCTGCCCGTCCAGCGTCTGGTCCTTGACAACTGTTGCGACGCGCCCACCCCCCGCGTTTAGCATCACACCGCATCACACCGCACACAACGCGACACGCACGCGATTTACGACGGGTGGTGGTGGTGGTGGGAACGCACTCTCACAAATGGCGACGGCCTGGAGGTTTTGGTTGTAGAGCCGCGAGCCCTTCCAGCTGATCGACGACGTGCCCGCATAGTCTCGCGACGTATTGATGTCTGTGTGGGTGTACATCGGTGAGAGTCCAAGGTTGGAACGTCGTGTCGTGTCGTGCGGTGCCGTGCGGTGTCGTGTCGTGTCGTGTCGTGTCGTGTCGTGTCGTGTCGTGTCGTGTCGTGTCGTGTCGGTGTGATGAGGTGCGTACGTGGCGACAGGTAGATGCCGGAACCGTAGACGGCACCGCACGTCATCAGGTCGGTGTTGGACAAGTTACGAAGTCCACCACGCAAGATCGCATGCCTACCCGTCCGCCCGACACATTTCCAATCGTTATTCCACCGCACACACCACAACCGCACGCGCCACACCACCGCACACACCCGCACACGCCGCACGTACCAGTTCTCGATGGCGGAGCCGTGGAAGGCCCAGACGGTCGGGTGCTGCTGCTTGTGGACGCGGAAGCGGGCCTCCTTCTCCGGCGAGTTGGAGAAGAGGAGGTACTGGTGCGGCGTCGCCATGTCCTGGACCTGCTTGTGCGGCGGCAGCTTCTGCAGGTGGGCCCGGTTGCTGCTCAGGATCCACCGCAGCATCCGGTACAGCCGCGGCTCCCTCGCCTCCAACATCGTCCGCAGCTCCCTGCACGCGTGTGTCATTTACATGCGCGCGGTGTGTGCGGTGGTGTGTGCGGTGAGTACCGCTCGTCGGAGGCGGCGAGGAGCATTTCGTCGACGGAGGGCATGGCGTCGAGTACGGCGGTGAGGCCGGCGTAGTCCTTGGTCATCGACGCGCGGTCGGTGATGAACTCCTCGGGGAACGGCGACAGGATCTTGTCGCGGCGCGAAGAGGCGGCCGCGGCGTAGGTCATCGACACCATGAGGTCGACGTAGTCCGGGTCCTGCTTCATCTCGTAGAACACCGACGCGCCGAGCCCCAGCTCTGCGAACCGGAACACGCACTTGTCCTCGCTGCACACCACCGGCTTCAACCCACTGCCACACACGACACACACCGTTAGCGCGCGCGCGTATGCGGTGCGTGCGGTGTGCGGTGTGCGTGTGTGTGCGGTGTGGTGCGGTGCGTACCTGGAGACGAGTCGCTTGTCGCACATGACGCAGAAGTTCATGCAGTTGCGGATGCGGGAGAGCAGGTAGTACATGAGGATCGCCAGGAAGTTGTTGTTCCGCACCTTCTCCTCCATTCCCTCCTCGTTCTCCCCCACCACCATCGTCGTCGTCGTCTTCTTCTCCTCCACTTCGTCGTCGTCGTCGTCGTCGTCGTCGTCGTCAACCTTGCCCTTGCCCTTCTTATCCACGACAAACACCGAAGCGCGCAGGTAGTCGCTGATGGCCGACACCACCTCCTTCTCGCCCTTCTCCTTGCCCTTGCCCGCGTCGGCGTCGGTCGTGTCGGTGGCGGGGTCGGCCTGGGGCGGCTCGGGCGACTGCTGGCGACCGTCGACGTCCTCCCACTGCACGCCGCACTCGGCGAGGAGTGCGATGGCCCGCTCCACGTTGTTGCGCGTGTGCTCGAGCGCGTAGATGGCCGCCAGCTGGTCGTACCCCGACGCTGCATTCACGACACACGACACACGACACGACACGACACACACAGTTGTGAGCAACCGCACACGACACACGACACGCATACGACCACCGCACACGGTAGGTACCGATCATCTTCTTGATGGCGATGGTGCGCTCCTGCAGCTTGGCGGCCTCGGCTTCGAGCTCCTCGGGCGTGAGCTCCTTCTCCGCCGCGGGCTCGTCTTCCGCGGCCGCGGGTTCGGCCGACTTCTCTTCCTCCTCCTCCTCACCCTCCGGCTTCCACATCGCCTGACACTTGGTCTTCTTGCTCGGACCACAGTCGCTGCACGACACGACACACGCGGCACGACACGACACGCGCTGATTTCAGGGAGAGCACCGAAAGGAGGTGGCAGCGCAGTGCAGGCCCGGCGTGTACCAGTAAAAGAGGCCGGGGGGTTTGGGCATCAACTCGTGGCCCGCGTGGCACACTGCACGCAAACGAGCGCACGAAATCAACAGAGTGAGCTCGTCATCGCAACGCAAGTTGTCGCGTGTCGTGTCGTGTGTGTGTGTGTGTGGTGTGTGGTGTGTGTGTGTGTGTGTGTGCGTCGTGTGCGTCGTGTGTCGTGTGTGTGTGTGTGTGGCGTGCGCGTGTGTGTGTCGTGTGTATACCCTTGACGCAGCTCATGCAGCAGCCCTGGCCCTGGTCCAGGCCGCACGTGCGACACTCGAACCACCGCTGCTGCGCGTACGTGGTGCCTGGCCAACCCAACCCATCGTGTGTCGCGTGTCGTGTCGTGTCGTGTCGTGACATGCGTGTCATGCGTGTGTCGTGAGCGATAGGGATCCATGGAGCGCGGGCCCGTCTGCAGGAGGGTACCTGTGGCGGAAAAGGTGCACACTTGTCGATTGAGCGCGTCGGCCACGGTCGAGGGCTTCATCTGCGGCGAGCCGTGGGAGGGCGGCGATCGAACATTAGGGCGCCCGCCGGGCGGGTGGGTGGGTGGGCGGGTAGAGGTGGAAGGGGAGCGAGGGCGGGGAAGAGGTAGTCGAGGAGGCGGGAAAGGGCGACGTACGCTGCTCATCTGCGGAGGGGACCATGTGGCTTGACACGGCGTGCCGAGGGTTCCGTCGCCACAGTCGCTATGATGTGCGCGTGCGTCCAGTCCGTCAGGGCAGCATTCGAGCAGATTCCATGTGCGTGCATGCGTGTGCGCGTGCGGTGCATGTGTGTGCGTGTGTGTGTCGTGCGTGGCAGTGAGTACCAGTAGAAGTTGCTTGCTCCCTGCGACACGAGGTTGTGCCCGGAGTGGCACACTACGCGCAACAGAAGAATTAATGATAATAATATATTGATATAAAACAATGAACAATGAACAATGAACAATACTAAATACTAATAATATAAGATATTAAGATATTTGTGGCCAAAACATCTACCTTTAGCGCATGCCGGACAGCAGCCCTGGTTGCCGCCGTCGGGCGTGCACGTGAGACACTTGTACCACACCTGAGGGACGTAGCTCCGACCTGCACCGATCGGCGCACGCGCAACAGCACGACACGCACGGCACGCGCAACAGCACGACACGCACGCAAGGCGACAACCGGTTGAACGAGAGCGGCGTCAATGAGGTATGGCACACAAGGTGCATACCGCTGATGATGTAGGAACAAAGGTTGCGCGCGAGGGCGTCGCTGTAGGTGGTGGGCGGCGTGGAGGGCTGGGCAACGGGCGGCATCGGTGCCACGGGGGCCGGAGGAGGCTTCGAAGCGGCCTGCGACTTCACAACCACCGCAGCCGCCTGGTCGTCTCTTTAGAAACACGCCGCACACGCACACGCACACGCACACGCACACGCGCACGCGCACGCGCACGCACACGCACACGCACACGCACAACGCAACACGCGTGTTGGTGGTACCTCGACTTCGTGCTGGGTGATCTTTTCGCGGATGCCGGCGAGCACGGCGGCCGAGTCGAAGCGCAGCGGCCAGTACTGCTGGAGGAACTGGTACGTGATCTCGGCCAGCTGCGGGCGCATGCGGAAATTGGGATTCTCGTCCTGCTCCACCTTCACGCTGGGCAACTGTCGTGTCGTGTCGTTGTGTGTGTCGCGTGAGTCGTGTCGTTGTGTGTGTCGCGTGAGTCGTGTCGTGCGGTGGCGGGTGGAAGCTTAGGATTGCGGGCGAGAAATGTGAAGCACGTACGTAGGAAGAGCGGAGGTAGTCCTCCTGGAAGGTCAGCGTCACGGTAATCGGTCGGTCCCTGGTTTAAAGAAAAGAAAGGAAAGGAAATAAGAAAGGAAACAAATAAGAAGGTGAGCGATGCCGGGTGGTTCGAGAACGTACTTGAGGATGCCCAGGGCAAAGGCCATCTCCTCCTGGAGGAACGAGGGCTCGAGGAAGATCACCACCTCATTCAACTCGCGCAGCAACTGTCGTCCCACAACCACCATGTTCAGGGAACACGACACACGACACATGCACACAAGCACACACGCACACGACACACGCACACACTCGCGTGAAGGGAGGGGGAAAGAGTGTACGTGGATGGAGTAGGCGCCGAAGATCTTCTGGACTTGCTTGGTGTGGAGCTCGAGCGGGTCGTTCTTGTTGCGCACGAAGAAGTAGCCCTCGTTGTCCCAGTCGTCGTAGTCGCCGTCGGCGGCGGCGGTGGTAGTCGGCGTCTCGGAGGTCTCTATCTCGCCCACCTCCTCCTCATAATCCTCCTGCCACCATCAGGTCAGTGTGTGCGTGTGTGTGTGCGTGTGCGTGCGTGTGCGTGTGCGTGCGTGTGCGTGTGCGTGTGCCGTGGTGCGTGTGCCGTGGTGCGTGTGCGTACGGTGTGGGGCACGTAGAGGGATGCAGTGAGCCACGCCGATCGGTTGAGCGCTCGGCCGCCACCGTTCACGTTGGACGCGGTGAGCAGTCCACGGCCCGCGGCCGATTGCGCCAAGCCAGCGCGACCTGCATTGTTGAACTTGCGCTCATAGTCTGGTGTGTGCGTGTGCGATGCGTGTGCGGTTTGTGCGTGAGTCAACAAAGTAACGGTGTATTGTATAGGGGGGGGGGTGAGCGACGCACTGATGACGAAGAAGTTGACGATGTCGACGAGACCCTTGTGGCGGTTGGCCGCATACTCGTTACCGTAGTCGACGAACGCCGCGATGATGCCCTCCTTGAAATCGCCGAACGAGCCCTCCAGCTCCACCGTCGGCCTCTCCTCCGGGTAGCCCACTGCCATAATAATAAATATAAATATTATTTAATAATAATAAAATCATCAGATTGTTAAAAAAACAATATAGTAAAATAATAAATAAATAAATAAATGTCAAATGGTAACGACCGCGAGAACGCACCAGGCAGGTGGAGGTTGAGGAAGATGCAGCGCTCGTCGCTGCTTCCCAGCTGCACTTCGAGAACACGCGTTGCCTCCACCCACTCCATACCTATCGTTGGTCGTGTCGTGTTGCGTGTCGTGTCGTGCCGTGTCGTGTCGTGCGTGTCGTGTCGCTTTCGTGTAAGAGGGTAAACGGAGAAAAGGGTTGGTTGGGTTGAGTGGAGCACGCACGGCGCACGCAGGAGGTGTCGACGTCGTAGATCTCCTTGAGGTCGTGGATCTCCTTCTCGATCTTGCGCAGGCGCTTGGCCTGGAGCGCCTGCCGCAGCTTCTCGCGCTTGGCCTCCTCGGCCTCGGCCTCGCGGCCAGCCTGCGCCGCACTTCCTCCTCCTCCGCCCGCAGCTTCATCTCCTCCTCGGCCAGTCGCCGCTTCTTGGCCTCCTCCTCGCGCTGCTTCCACTGCGCCTCCTCGGCTTCGTCTTCGCTTTCGCTTTCGCTGCTGATGTCGTCCGTGCCCATGTCCGGGTCCGAGCCGGCCTCGGCCTCGGCCTCGTCGGCCTTGTCCTTGCCTTTGTCCTTGCCCTTGTCGTCTTCCTCGAGTGGCGCAACCGGCGCAGTCGCCTCGTCCTATATATCTTTGCATGAGACGCGACACGCGACACACGCACACACCGCACACACCGCACGCGCACACGCACGCTCACACGCACACGCACACACGCACACCCGGGGAAGGCGAGGCCGATGTACCTCGACGGCGGGGTGGGTTCCGGACTTGATGGATTCGGTGATGACCCATTCGTCGATGGCCAGGTCGAGGGCCGTCGCCTGTTTGACCAAGCTCGGCGGGGGCGCTTCCTCCTCCTCGTATTTGAGCTGTGTGTGATTGGTCGTTCGGTCAACATAGCGATGAGCATGCGTGTCGTGTCATGTGTGTCGTGTCATGCGTGTCGTTGGTCGTGTTGTGTGTGCCGTGTGTCGTGTGTCGTTGGTCGTGTCGTGTGGAAGACGTACGCCAGGGACGCCAAGAGTGATCTTGAGTCGGATTTCGCCGCTGACGCGCGCCTTCGGCGAGTTCTTCAACAGTGTGTACCATCTGCAGCGGTGACGTAGTGAGAAGCCGTCGTTTGTGCACAAGCCAAGCGTACCGCATCGCGTTGTAGTGAACATAGAAAGAAAATAGACAATATATGGACTATATAATAGACTATATATTGTCATATCAAGTACGTACTTGTCTACTGTGCGCTTGCCGTAGAATTCGGTCATCGGTAGCGACAAATGGCCCAGGAAATCGTCCCTGAAGTTGGGAAGATCACCATCGACACTGGTTAACCCACACAAGCAAGGCCAGGCAGACGTGCAGCATACAACACACGACGCACACGATACGACACGACACGACACACACACACACACACACACACACGACACACGCTCGCACAGGGATCGATTGCCATTTGAGAACACGGAGAAGGGAAACGTACGAGAGGCCCACGAGCGCGCGGGTCTTGTGCTTGACCACGATGTAGAGGTAGTCGCCCAGCTTCGCCGGCAGGCTGTGTCGGTGCGAATTGTGAGCTTCCAAAAATAAAATAAAATAAAATAATAAAAAGGAAAAACAAAGAGAGAGAAAATGACGTACAAGTCGAAGGTCTGGTTCCAGACGGGGTTGAGCGTCTTCTCGTGTACTCGCGACTTGGCCGTTTGGGAGCCGCCCAGCGTTATCTGCAATTAATTTAAATAATTTATTTTTAATTAATAAAAACAACACATTTGATGAAGGAGTGGAAGGAGGGAGTACCATGCAGTAGGGAACGGAGCCGTTCGCGTTCTTGCCGTGGCCCTTCGCCGCAAGGTTACGGGCCTCGACCACTTTTATTTTCGATTTTGATGACAAAAAAAGTCAATTCAATTCCATTGTTGAAGATTTATGCGGGCGTACGTTGGACGGTCAGAAAGGACCCCTTGGGGAGAGGTTTGTCTTCCATCTCGGTTCAGATTTGTGGTTTCAAAATGCGATCGTACTCCGTTTTGAGTTGTGCTGCGGCGTGTGACGGTGACCAGGTGCCGCGGTACCAATTTAGGTGAACATTTCTCGCATACTCTGCGGCCGTGTGCTGGGCGTGCGGTGTGCGTGTGCGGTGGTGCGTGTGCGGTGAGTGTGCCGTGTGCGGTGGTGCGCTTGAGGTGCATTCCGACCAACTAACCACCGGCTTAGACGTAATAGTATTGTTTTAGAAGTTACAACAGACACAGTACACCTCCCCATCTCCTCGTGGCACTACATAATCGAGTCCTCTCTTCTTAATCCTTCTCTTTCTTTTCTCGCCTCTTCTTGGCACCCTTCTTCTTCTCTCGCTTCTTCTTGGACGCCTTCTTCTGTTCCTTCTTCTTTTTCTTGATGTCCGCGTAGAGCTCGTTCCTGTACTCCGTGGTGCCGCACTTCTTGTTGTCGTCGATCGAGATCTTGATCGTGTGCGGGCACGTCGGCTCCTCGCGGTCGTGGAACTGGGCCACGTACGGATGCAACAGGGCCTATGCCATATATATTGAGCCAACCCACGCCAGCCGTCAGCCAATTGCCAGCGGAGTACACATAAATTTACACTGCAACCAGCCAATCCGTAATTGTTACCTCCTCGGCGCTGATCCGCTTGTCGGGGCTGAACTGCAGCAGACGCCTGAGGAGGCTCAGCGCCTCATCAGGGGCCGTCGGGTATATGTCCGACAGCGAGCTGTGTGTGTGTAGCATAGTGAGATTCATATGTTCTACAAGATGTACAGATTGTATGCGAAGCGAGGAAGTGTACCGGGGCTGGGAGGGGGGCAAGCTCTCCAGCATGTTGGCGGCGAAAGGGGACTTGATAGCCTCGATGTCCTCCGAGGTGGGCCGGCCGGTGACCTCGATGATGCGGTCGAGCTGGTTCATGGTGGACGTGCCAGGGAACATGGGCTTGCCTCCCAGCAGCTCGCCTAGAATACAGCCGATCGACCACATGTCCACCCCCTTCGTGTACCTGCTCCCCACCCCCACCATCAGATTAAGCTTTTCTTAAGGTGGCGCTGATGATGGTTAAGGTGGCGGCTGGCATGCGTACCGCTGAGAGCCGAGGAGGATCTCTGGCGCTCGGTACCAGCGGGTCGCCACGTAGTCGGTGAGGACGGGGTTCTCCACATCTTCGTTCTCCAGCGCCGCGATAGATCGCGCCAGCCCAAAGTCGGCCACCTTCATCAGACACTCCGAGTTCAACAGCAGATTGCTCGGCTGCAATAATGGATGTGGTCACATGGGGAATCAGTTCTCTGCAAATGAGAAGAGTGAAATCTCGGTGTTCAAAGCACCTTCATGTCTCTGTGCAGGACGTCGCCAGAGTGCATGTACTTGAGGGCCTTGAGGAGTTGGTAGATGATGTACTGCTTGTGGACGTCTTCAAGAATCTTTGCTCGAATGACCTCATGCAAGTCAGTCTCTGCTCACACATCCCCCAACCGTGGCTGTTGTGAGTCAAAGCCCAAGGTGGCTCTGTGGCTGAGTTGAGGGGGGTACAAGGGCGCGGTACCCATGTACTCGAAGACCAGGTAGATATCACGGTCATTGTCGGCTTTGATCACCTTGAGCAACTTGATGATGTTCTCGTGTCCGCCCAACTCTTGTAAGAACATGATCTCCCTGTTTGGCATCTTTGAGGCTCCACCACCTTCCAGATCTGGCCTGGACGAAGAGACAGAGAGGGGGGCTACCTGAAGGTGCGCTGAGCATCGGTGGCGTTCTGAAAGGCATCGAAGATCTTCTTGAGAGCCACATCATTCCCGTTCTTCTTATCGAGGGCCTTCCACACGATGCCATACGCCTGTAGACCCCCCCCCCTTTAAACACGATCGATCTTCCGTGTACGGAGGGTGGAAGTTCATACACCCTTGCCAAGCTTGGTGGCGATCTCGTAGCGCTTGAGCACATGCTTGTCGATGTCGTCACTCATCTCCTTCCTCCTCCCGTGCTGAAGGATCAGACTGGGGCACTGTCAGTTGAGACCAAAAAGGTTACAAAGTCCCCTTTTAGGGTAAGAGACCCCCCGCACCAGGGACTTGAGTAGGCAGCTCTTCACGTGGCAGATGCTTACAAGAACCCTCCCTCAACACCATGAAGAGAAGCACCTAATGATAAGTATAAGAGTCTGAGAGGTATATCATCGGTGTGGTGCTCGTTGATCGTCTTGGTGTGGAGTTTTATTTTTGCTCATAAAGATGAAGGAAAAAGAAGCCAGATAGGGAGCGCTCAGGGAGACAGAAGCGTGATGTAGATCAAGGGAGCGGTCGGTTGCTCATTGAAGACCTGCTCGTGCTCGATCTCCTTCTTGATCTCGTCTTCATCTTCGTCTTGGTCCTCGTCCTCGTCCTCGTCCTCGTTCTCCTTGTTCTCCTTCTTTTTCTCGCCCTTCTTTTCCTTGCAGAATCTGATCTCCACACCGAAGACCTCCGCAGCGCTCTGCAGGAAGTGGTGTTCTTGACCTTTCTCCTGGCGCGTCAGCTCTTCAGCGTCGTCGTGGCGCTGGATGTACCACTTCACAAAGGGCATCCTCTTGGAGTGCTCCTGCTTCGGGAGTTTGTTGTACAACTTGTCGATCAGTGCTCCGGCGATCTCGTCCTCGTCCAGGCGTTTGATCCAAGCGGTCTTCCTGCACGTCCGAGATAGCAATCAATGCGAGCGCTGCATGCGTGCGGTGCGGTGCGGTGCGGTGCGGTGCGTGGTGAATGCGTGTGAAGGGGAGGGGCTTACTCCCAGGGTCTCTTCTGTGGTTGACCTCGCTTGCTCCTTGGGGTCCTGCAAGATAAGAAAGGAGGGTCAGCCAATAAAACAAATGACCGAGGAGGAAGAAGGGTGAAGAAGAAGAGGAGGAGGAGGAGAAGTGGGGGTGTCACTTACTTGCGCCTGAAGTCCCAGCAACCGCCGTTCTTCTGGTCGCCGTACTCGATGTCGAACTTGAAGAGCTGGAAGCCGGAGAGGTTGTCCTTGGTGAGCCTCTTGGTGAGCAACTTGTCCTCGTTCAGAAAGAAGTTGACGGAGCCGTTGCCCGCCTTCTCCGCGATGATGCGTCGGTCGACCTCGTACTGGGGGACGAACAGCTCGTACCACCTCGTGTAGGAGTGCAGGCGCAGGGGGGGCGAGTAGTTAAGGACGGTGCCGCAACGCTCGATCGCCACTCGGTAGTGGGCCGTGCCGCGGCCTTCGGCAACCTCGACGTTGTAGTGCCTTCTGAAGATGGCCTCGTTGGCCTTCTTGTTGGCGATGGCCATCTGGCAGATGTTGGTGTTCTGCAGCAGGGTCTGCCTCCACTCGACCAGCACCTGCATGAACGTCTGAAGATGGTGCTCCTTCTCGTCGCTGTCTCCCTTCATCAAGGAGGACCACTCCCCATTGCGCAGATACTCGAGCGCCGAGACTGGACTCCCGGCCGCGGTGTAGAGGTCGTTCATGTGCATCGCGAGCTCGATGCCCAGGTACCCCGATTCGAGGAATAGCGAGGAGACATCTTTGATCAGAGACTTCACCTCGAGCTTCGGTTTCACGGCGTCCACGGCGGTCGTCAGCGCCTTCTGGGCAAAGAGCAGCGCCAGCAAGATGTCGCACGGGATCATGGACGTGGCGGAGCCGAACGTGTCGTACATTCGAACCTGGCGCACGTCATCGTCTATCATCCACCAGCTGTATAGGCCACCAATGACACACTAATGAGTCAGAGAAGCAATGCAGATCGCAGAGAACAGAGAAAGCAAAGATACACGACCACACGACCACGCATAGAGAGAGAGAGAGAGGCGCGAGAGAGGCCCGCGTGCCGAGCGTTCAGGGCAAATGGGGCAGGGTGATTGTGTACTAGTCGAACGGCCTCGAGATACTGCTGCGGAGATGGTCTTGGAAGTGTTTGATGATGCTGCGGGCAAAGCGAACGCCCCGGTTTTTCCCCGGGATGGATACAAACACCAGGCGTTCGCTCGCCCCATCGTAGGACGCCACGTAATCGTCCAGCTCTTGCTCCTCCACGAATGCGTAGATCAGGTGAGGGCAATCACCCGCATTGGTGGTGGAGGCCGGGAGAGAAGGAGTGAAGACCAGGTGTGCCTGCTTGTTCTTGTAGCGGCCCTGAGCATTTTAAGCATGAGGTGAGTTGGCATCACTTCCGCACTATCCCCCGCGCCCACGCCCCATGCAAAAGATGAGGGTGATACCTTGGTGGGGATCATGATCGGATAGATCCAGTTGCCCGTGCTGGACAGGAGCTGCTCCAGGTCGCTCTTCCAGTTGGCGTAGGCCTTGATCGTGAACTGGCTCGCGGACTCTAGCCATGGCTGCTCCGTATTGGTGAAGGAGATCCGTATGACCCGCTCGTAGCCAAATGCCGATTTCTCCTCCGAGGAGAGAAGTTCAATGGCACTGAATAGTTCAGGTAGGGTGAACGGCCCAGGATTCGACCGGTCCTGCACCCTGGGCACAGAGAATGGACGCAAGCGCGAGAGAGCATGAATGAAGGATCATGTGATGGGTAGAGGAATTGTGGGTGAGGTGAGGAGTACTCGGGCAGGTAAAATGCTCGTTTCTTGGCCGATTCGATGTTTCGTCGCAGCTGCTTAGACGCGGTCTCAACGTTGGCAAAGGCGTGCTTGAACAACCGCGGTGTCTCGGCCAAGACTCGGCTACCGTCCTGGAGCAGGGTGAGCTTCGTGTCTTCGGTTGCCCTATTACGTTGCCAGGCAATGGATGTAAGAGAAGAGTACAGAATCTAAGCTCATTCATGCCACGTCACGTCACAGCGTCCTCTTACCCCGTGTTGTCCACCTTGGAAGGGCGAGGGCTCAGCGAGGCCAGCTTCTTCTTCAGCAATTTGATCAGGTTGTCGTCGACCACACACTCACTCGGTTGGCTGCAGAAGTCCCGCCATGGATCGTGAAGCTCCGAGATCTTGTCGATGATACTTGCGCCGAGCTGCTTGTTAAAGGCGTCGAGCCTCTTGCAGAAGAAACCGCGCACCTTCTCGACCATTTCGTCCGCTGGCTCCTCCTCTACCTTGGGAAACACCTTGGGGTACTCGCGCTTCACGGCTTTGGTGAAGGAGATGAAGCCACCCTCCAGCTCCTTCTCGATCTCGCTGGCCATGACTTCCACCATCTGCCCGATCTCCTTGAAGAGCTCTCCGTGCTGGATCTTAGGCACACCGCCGGATTTGGGCCGATCAGCTTCCACCGAATGACCAAGCTGCTCGAGCATCACCCGAAACTCATCTTCTTTCTCTTCTGCATCAGGATGTGCCATCATGGTGGTGAGAAGACTGCCGTGATGAGGCCCAGTCGCGTGTGGCGTGTGGCGTGTGGCGTGTGGCGTGTGGAGTGGTGTACCGATCAGTTGATCGTGCATAGGAATTTCTGGCTTGGTCACGAGGAGCGCCATGAAGAAGGAAGCACGAAGCGCAGAGTGCCTTACTCTAGCAGTGACATACTCGAACAGGTTGGGGACCAACTCAAGCACCGCTTCCCGTAACGTCCGCCGACGGGAATCAGGCTTTTCGTCACTGTTGCTACGGGCAGTGTGGTGCGTGTGCGTGGAAGATTGTCAGCACACGCTGTATGTGCCAAAGGACCACATTGACATTGACACAACGGTACCTCGCCAGGTGGTCAAGCAGGGTCTCTCTCGGCGAGTTCTCGTCCTCCCACCAGGCGGTGACCAGTTGGTCAGCATTCTCCTGGAAGTGGTCCTTGACGAACTTGATGATCTCCTGCGCCCATTGCTTCTTCACCTGGATATTCTTGCAGCGCTTGATGTCCCCGAGAAAGTGAAGATATGTGTTTTCCACCTTGAGCTTGTTGTGGCAGGCCGGCTCGAGAAGGCTATGGATGAAGCGGCTCTTCATATGGTTGATGGCCTCGAGTAGCTTGGCGTGGGTGTCGTACGAGACTCCGCGCTCTCGCAGCTCGCGTTCCTGCTCCGGCGTGTAGAACAGGGCCGACCGACAATTGCGCGACAGCTCGCCAAAGATGCGCGCACGAAGAAAGCCCTGGAGGGTAGGACAGTAGAGGTCGGAGTCGCGTTCGACGAATTCGATTGCATTGCGCAGCCCTGCGAGCGCTTGCTCTTTCCTCTCGTTGATCAGCCTGTCAGAGAGGGTGCGCACATGGTCAGGGTGATCGCACGCACGCACGGTGCTGGGCAGGTGCAGACGTACTGGTCTTTGTCCTCGCAAACGTCAAGGTTCTGGAGCCAGCAGTCGGACTCGCTGTACCCATGCGGGTAGATCACCGTAACGATGGGGAGGCGATTGAGCTGTCGCTGTTCCAGCATCTTGTTGAGCAGGAGGCCCAGGGACGCCACGGACGACGGAGGAAACTTGCGGTCCTTCGTGAAAACGAACAGCCCATCCGCATTCGTGGCAGCGAAGAGCTGCGAGTTGTCCACGATGTGTTGCTGAAGCTCGGAGGTGATGCCCGGTAGCTAAACCAGAGGTTTTTGGAGAAGAGAAGGTGAAGTCATTGCGGTGCGTGCCTGAGTCATTGCAAAAAAGTGGAGGGTGATGGTGACTGGGGGAGCGTACATCGCACAACTTGAACCCGGAACGGTGCAGGAAGGGACCGGTGTAGGTCAGCGCTGAGACCTCGAGCGGGTCGATCGAGTCCATGAACACTTTGGCTTCCTCAAAGGACTCGAACGTCTTGACGCTGGGCTCGTCGACGACTACGGTGCCAGCCCCCTCCAGCATTTCCTCGTTGTCGTGGGAAGGACCGACGGTCTTGTAGCAAGTCACTCGAATTCGAGGCCCGTACTCGAGCAGCACAGGGATCTTGGAGACCGTGTCGAGTCCCTGGGACGAGCGAACTGGCCCCTGCTCTCGGATCACCTTGCTGTTGAGCGCACCATCACCCGGGGTTGAGCTGAGGCAGAGGAAGTTCGCCAAGAAGCTCTTCCCGGCACCGTTGGCGCCCCAAAGACCCAGGACGAAGTTGCTCTGCTTCACGTTGGCTGTATCGAGGCAAGCGTCGATCTCCTCGATCTGGGTGTCCACACGGTGCTGGCGGGTGGTGTCCTTCATCCGCGCCTTGAGGTCGGCGGGGAAGTTACTTATGTAGGCCTTGAGCAGCTCGATCTTCTTCGTGACCGTTTCGCTGTCGAGTAGCTCCGGATCGATGGATACCGCATCACCACTCGGGCCTCTACTGGACGTTGCCCTCTTCTTTTGGGGTCCCTTCGCCTCCTCGCCTCCTTCCTCTTCCTTCCTCTTCCTCTTCGCGTTGCCCTTTTTCTTTTCTTTTTCTTTTTCTTTTTCTTTTCCCTTGGCCGCCACCTTCCCTTTCGCTTTCGGCTCCGCCTTGACCCTCTTTGCCTTCCCCGTTGGCTCCGCCTTCTCCTTCCCCTTCGTCCTTTTCACCACCAGCTGCTCCTTGCCCTCATCCTTGCCCACAGCCGCATCCGCCTTTCTCTTCTTGCCCTCTCGCTGCATCGTCGGTCCGTCAGTCAGTTCGGCAACAAAGAAGACAAGCAGCAAAACAAGTTGTCACCTCGTTATGGTTGCAAAGATAAACTATTTTAGGGTGTGTTGCAAGGAAAAAAATTTGAGTCCGATTGGTTGAACTTCATTGTCACAAAAACAGAGCTATTTACAGGCCAATAACACAACAAACAGTGAAGTCACTTCTTTCGCGTCTTCTTCTCTTGCTTCTTGTGGGCGCCTGTCCACGGAAACAAAACAACATTAGTTCTACTCATGAGTCCCGTATAAGTGTCGTCGTGTCGTGTGTGTCGTGCCGTACTCTTGGCAGCTCGTTTGAGGACAAAGTTGTAGGTGTCGCGTCCGCCGGCCCCTCGCACGGCAGCCGGGAGGTTGTCGAAGGGATTGCCGTCGACTTTGAGCTCGGAGAGGGAGGTCATGTTGACCATCTCGTTGGGCAGATCGTTGAGCAGGTTGTCCGTCACGACGAACAGTTCGAGCGCAGAGAGGTTGCCGATCGACTTGGGCAGCTCCACCATTTTGTTGTGCTCCAGGTGCAGCTGTACACAAGTCCCCGTCAGTACGCCGCACACGCACACGCACCACCGCACACGCACACACGCCGGCGATACGCAGCACACACGCACGCAGTTGCGCACCTGTTTGATCAGGGAGATGTCTCCAATCTCGTGAGGCAATGTGAGCAGCTCGTTGTAGCCCACACGCAGCTCGGTGAGTCCGGTCAGCAGCGAGATCTCTCCGGGCAGCTGCGCGCGCAGAGAGAGAGGGAGAGAGGAGAGGTGCCACATCGTCGTCAATATGCCAAATCACTTTGATTTCGCCCCAACAGCCATAGGAGTCAATAGTGAAAAGAGACTCTTCGGCGTACCCGGTCGAGTTGGTTTTCGTCCAGGTTGAGCTGCTTCAGCGTCGTGAGCGCGCCGATTTGGTTGGACAGCCTCTTCATCTGCGATTGTACAATCACAGCACAGACACTCAATTTTCTAATCACGTCGTCGTGTGTCCGTGTGCTTCTGCAGTTATGTGTTCGTTACTGCACGCGTACCTGGTTGTCGGACATGTTGAGGGAGTTGAGCGCCGGAGGGAAGCACCGCGCGTCGGGGAAGGTCTGGAACTCGTTGGTGGACAGGTCGAGGTGCTTCAGGTTCACGAGCGCGCTCAGCTCCGGCGGTATCGCCTTGAGCCGGTTGCCCTTCAGGTGCAGTTCCCGAAGACCTGGACCAACAAAAAGATGTAAACTCGTGTGTCGTGTCGTGTCGTTGGTCGTGTCGTGTCGTTGGTCGTGTCGTGTTATGTGTCTTTTACCTGTAAGCATGCCCAACTCGGCAGGGAGCGCGATGAGTTTGTTTCGACCCAGATACAGACTGCGGAGCGAGGTCATGTTGCCGATCTCAGGCGCAAGAACTGTCAATTGGTTGGCTGATGTGGCCAATCGCAAACGATGACGATGACGATGCGGGTCAGTGCGATAAGTGAGATGTGGCTCACATACTAACAGTAAGCGCAGTTGGTGTGCATACCTTCCAAGTCGAGGGTCTCAAGGCGCGGGAGCTCGGTGATGGTCACGGGGAACTCCTCCAGTTTGTTCTGCGAGACGTCGAGCCGCATGAGGTCGGTGAGCGCGCCCCAGCCGCCCTGTAGCGTAGTCAGCTTGTTCTGCTTGAGATCCTGTTCGACCACACGACCACACCACCGACACTCAGAGTCAGCACGCGAAGGAATGCAGTGTGGAATGCGCAGCAGAGGAGAGAATGAAAACGAAAGAGCAAAAGAACGAAAACGAGAGGCGCGTGTCGACGTACGAGGTCCTTCAGCTGGCACAGCTTTTCGACCGACCTGAACTTGGTGAGGTGGTTGGTGGAAATATCCAGGATCTTGAGGTTGGTGGCCATGCTGAGCTTGCGCGGCAGCTTGTGCAGCTGGTTGTTGCGCACGCTCAGCATCTCGAGCGACACGAGACAGCCGATCTCCTCGGGCAGCTGCTCGAGTCGGTTGTACCGGAGGAAGAGCTTGTTGAGGTGCACGAGGTGCTTGATCGTCGCCGGCAGCTCGGTGAGCTTGTTGTACCTCAGATCGAGCATGGTGAGCGATGTCAGCTGTCCCAGCTCGTTGGGCAGAGTCCGCAGGCTGTTTTCGTTCAACCCCAAGGCCTTCAACTTGGTCAATTTACCTGCGTTTGTGTTCCACGCGTAAGTGAAGAAGAAGAAGAAGAAGAAGACACAAACGTGAAGAAGCAAGGGCAGCGGTACCGAGATCTGGCGGCAGGCTCTCGATTTTGTTCATGTAGAGATTGAGCACGCTGAGGTTCTTCATCTCCCACACGTTGGACGGCACCGCCGTCAGCTCCTTTCGCCTCAGATCGTAGCTCTGTAGACCACCCGCACTACCGCTTCCCGAGTCCTCCGCCATACTCGCCGCCGCCTCTGCTCACATCGCCATTCGAGTTGAGATGGTGTCGTGTCGTGTCGTGTTGCAATGGCGTGGTGATGATGATCATTACCTTTTTTGGCCTTCCTCCCCTTCTTCTTCTCCTCGGAGGACGTGACTTCGCCGTTGGACGATTCGTTCTTTTCCTCTTGCGCGACAAATTCCTCGCCGTAGAAGGAGACTCCTCGGTGGGCTGTGTGTGTGTGTGTGTGTGTGTGGTGTGTGGAGAGAGAGAGAGAGAGAGAGCTAGGCTTAGATCGTTTAGGTTTGTGAGGGAGGAGGGAGGGGACCACACACCTTCAATGTCCCTGTGCCTGGACGGCGTTGTCTTCTTGCCGCTGCTGGCGATGGGTATCGACGAACCCGACATGAACAGCGAGCTCGTGGGCGCGGCGCGCAACTGGCTCTCGAACGGCGACGAGGCCGGAAGCGGCAGCACCTTGTCCACCACCACGGCCGGCTCTGTGGAGAGCGTGGCCACCGAGAAGGCCGGCTCGCTCGAGCGGGGCGACATCATCGCCTGCTGCGCCTTGCTGCTGCTGCTGCTGCCGCTGCTGGTGGTGGTGTTGCTTTCTTTATCCTTCGCCTTGGTATCCCCGCTCCCCTTCTTCGCCTTGCGCTTGCGCTTGCCCTGGTCCTTATTGGAGTCCTTGTGGCTGTCGGTGCTGTCCTTGTCGCTGTCCGTGGCCACGTCGCTGCGGGAGTCGTCCTTATCGCTGTCGGTGTCGCGCATGA